GGGGGGGGCTGCGTCCCGCTGATGCTCGGGGGGTGCCCACACCCGAGGCCCCCGGGGGGTGCAGCTGTGGGGCAGGGACCCCAGGGCGGTGGGGCAGCTTCGCCGGGGTCCCCACGTTAGTCACTGCGGGTGTCTGTGGCCCGGCGTGGGCCCGTGGCCTGGGTGGGAGGGCAACCACCTTGGGGCAGGGAAATGCGGCCATCCTGCCCAGGGCTGGGGGACTGCGCGGCCCCACACCCGCCCCCGGCATGGGGCAGAGCTCTGGGGGAGCCTCGCTGCCTTTCCACCGCCCCGAGCTCTGGGACGCCCTGCCTGGAGCTCTGGGAGCTCAGGGACACCCTGTCTTGTGAGCTTGGGGACGCCCTGCCTGCGAGCTCCAGGAGCTGGGGGATGCCCTGCCTGTGAGCTCGAGGATACCCTCCCTGTGAGCTCAGGGGTGCCCTGCCTGCAAGCTCGGGGTGCTGGGGGACACCCTGCCTGCGAGCTCAGGGTGCTCAGGGACACCCTGCCTGTGTACTTGGGTATACCCTGCCTGTGAGCTTGGGGACAGCCTGCCTGCAAGCTTAGTGAGCTTGGGGATGCCCTGCCTGCGAGCTTGGGGATGCCCTGCTTGCGAGCTCGGGGATACCCTGCTTGCGAGCTCAGGGACACCCTGCCTGTGACCTCAAGGAGCTCGGGGCACCCTGCCCTGCAAGCTTGGGGACACCCTGCCTGCGCGGCCATGCCTCCCCTGCCCACCGGTGCAAACCAGAGCACTAGTTGTGGGCAGCAGCGGACGCGAGCGGGCAGAATGGGCAGAGCAGGCGTCTGCCACGGGCCTGCCGAGCCCTCGGCCTCCTCGCCAGGCAGCAGCAGCGCGGCAGCAGCGGCTCCGACACCCCGGTGGGTTTGTTTCCCTCGAGGTCCAGGCGAGCGTGACTTCCCCGCCGGGCTGTGACAGGGGCTGCCCTGCCACCGGGGTGGGAAGGACCAAATTCTACTCGCCCGACCCAAACCCCACGGCACCGGCAGCGGCCTGGGGACACCCTGCGGGCTTCTCTCCTGTGCCAGGGCTCCGGTGGGTGCCACCCGCTCCCCCTGCCTCTGTCCTGCCCCATCCCTGGCGGTGCTGGGTGCCAGGCTGGCTTCTGAATCCATGTTTTTTCCCCCCCCTTTCCGTATTTTGCTGTCACTTCTCAGGTCTCTTCCCAGGAATTTCCGTATTTCGCTGTCACTTCTCAGGTCTCTTCCCAGGAAGAGCAGCTGGGGCAGGTTGCGGGAGGTCTGCCGGCGAGGAAGCAGGCTCTTCCTCCTTCCCCGGTATTTAAGAAACCGCTTCCGTGCTGCCCAGTCCTGGGCCTCTCCGTCCCATTCCCCTTGTGTGGCCGCGGCTGGCAGTCTGACATCCCGGAGTGATGCTCCGGCCACCTCCCCGGCCCCACCAGGCATCACTGCAGGGAGACGGGGGACAGACCCTGCCCATATGAAGGGATGACGTCCCCGAGACCTGCTGGGGTTTGGCATGTTTTGGGGATGAGTTTGGGGCTGGTTTTCAGCAGGAGCAGGGAGGCGGGTGACGGCCACCACCAGATGGGAGCTCTGTGCCATCATCCCACCGCAGGCAGCTCTTGGTCCATGTGGCAGACGGCTGTTCCCTGCGAGTGGGGCAGACCTCCAGGCACCCATCCCGGCTCCGCACCCCCCAGGACACCCACTGGGAGCTGCACGGGAGGGATCCAGTGCAGCGCACGCTCGGCACCCGGCGCCAGCCTGCACTGGGATGCTGCCTCGGTGGCTGGGGACAAACGTCCTCCCAGCGCCGTGGGCTGAGCTGGGATCCTTCCCCATCCTGTTTGGATGAGCTGGGATCCTTCCCCATCCCCCTGGGCTGAGCTGGGATCCTTCCCGTCCCTCCAGGATGAACTGGGATCTTTCCCCGTCCTGTTTGGATGAGCTGGGATCCTTCCCCATCCCCCTGGGCTGAGCTGGGATCCTTCTTCATCCCATTGGGCTAAGCTGTGG